AATAAACAGGTGGTGCCCCTTTTGTTATGCTAATAATTACGAGGTATTTATGATATAATATTGTCCATAACATCGACAACAGCATATCCCTACACTTTTTAACAGGATTCAAAAGACAGAGTTGAGAAATCTTGGGTTACGCTTGTTATCACTGATGGAGCCAGAGAAAAAGCTATTCTTAGTGCTAATAAACCAATTTCATGCAGCGCCTGCCAATCAAATGTTAACAAAAAACAGAACAAAACTTGCTTGTTTGATTTGACTCCATGGGGTCTTGTTGCTGTGTTTGTAGTTAGGCAATGACTGGCCCCTTTTATCCAGTCAAGCTGTTCGGATCAAGTATGAGCTAATGCATTGCAGTATGACAGTCATTATAGCCCTTGGTGATCCAGCTGTGATTCACTGCTTTTTATCATCCAAACCCAAGTTTTCCCTACTTCCAGCCATGTTTAATCATTCTTTCACTCTTCTTCTTCTCCATCATCCATATTTCAACTCATAGATAAATATTTCCCTGAGAGTTGCACGCCTTGAATACAAATTTTGTGACGTGTTGTTCAAAGTTAGAGGTCATTCCTCTCATATGGACATAAAAAAAAACCTAAATGTTATTTATTGATTATTAATTTGTCAATGTCCAGAAATATAAAGAATTAATATAGGTAATAAAGGCAGAAGAACAACTCTGGCGCCACTCGAAAAACAAACAAGATCTTAAATGCGTCTGATCAAATTTGTCCATCCGTCCATTTTCTTCACCAGCTTTTCTATGCAGTGAGACAGGGAGCTGGTGCTTTTTCCAGTGGTCATGGGGTAAAATGTGAGGAGCTAAACCAAACAAACACCCATTCATGCTATAACTCACACCTAGTTACAATTAATAGTTAGCAATTAAGCTAACATACATATTTTGGGTCTGTCAGAAGAACCTGGAAAAAGCAACGGTTGGACAGTAGCCATGTTTCCATCCATATTTAATGCGAATTTTGAGCAAAGTTTTTAAAATGTCACAAAAAAAAAAGAAATATGTATCAGACTTGTTTCCATCAACTGGCTTAGAGCGAATCAACCAGGCTACACAAGGTGTAATTACTAGGGGTGCAACAATACATGTACCCGTATCGAACCGTTCAATACAGAGCTTTAGGTTCAATACACACGTGTATGGAACAATACAGATATTTTAAATTTATTTTATCAACTTGTCTTCTGAAGACGGTCTGTGTCAAAGGATCAGTGGATCTGTGTTCGATTACTCCACCTAGGCTGCATTGTCGAGCACAGATCCACTGAAAAACTTGCTGTTTCAGCAACATTTAATTCAAAAATTGTACTTTTGAGATTAAACAAATGTTCATAATTAATTTAAATAAATTACAAGTTAAAAAGTGCATGGAAATTTTTCTTTTTTGTATCGAAAATATATCGAACTGTGAGACTTCAGTATTGAACCAAACCGGATTGTGTATTTTCTGTATCGTTGCACCCCTAGTAATTACGTCAGACCTTGACGTTATAAATGGCTGTAGCAAACAGTAAAGTCTCAAACTCGCAGGGACAGATCTCAGGTCTATGGAGAGAAATAATCAGGAATGTGTTGCTGCTATCGGGAAAGTTGTAATT